AATGTCGTGTCAGGTCGTGACTAGTTGCGTGTCTCGCAAATATACAACTATCAAGGGAAGAAACGCGTACAGGACGTCTAGTCATAAGAACACTGTAATTTAGGAGATATATGTAACTTTCTAGTGTCATGTGTGATTTGATCTAAACCTGTATATGGAGACTAGGTCTAGTAGAAATATGGGTAAATGACTAAGGAACGGGTATGGAAATGGTTATATATGGACATGATCTGGATGATTGGAAAAGGGATCATACGGAGCACATATCACAACCAGTTTTACTCGATCATCTTCTAGATATTTTGTACCTTATTTAACATAACAACTCAAATATATTCACTTATAGAATTTATATCTTTAACACAACTTAGAAAACAATTTTCATCTTTGTCATCATACAATACCATAACTAAGTCAAACAGTAAAGAAGACAACTCCTTCACGCTGGGTATAAATATATATGAAAAAACAGAACAGCCTGTGACGGGCTTTGACCGAATTTGGAATGGTCACTAGGACAACTCCGTCTTCGGGGTAGGTTGTGGCAGAGCAGCGCTCCCGAAAATGCGAATGGGGCGCATAAGGAAGTATCATGAGGGGAAAGTGCCGGATGGAGGGTATGGTACAGGAGAACAGGTGATCCGTGGAGAAAGGATGATTTCTCAAGCAGCCAAGGGAGGGTGTGAAGACTAGTCTACATAGAGCATATAAGGGATGGGAGAGTACATGTTAGATTGTCTTCCTAAGAAAGAAGTTATTAACTCCTATTGAGTTATTGTCCTTCAAGTACATCTGAATTCATTACATCATTACACAGCCCATAGATTCTGTCTCAAACAGTTTTACTGCGCAATTCCCATGAGAAAAGCCTGTTTGCTTGTTTCGAAAGTACATCAGACAGCACGTTGTGTTCTGGCAGGGAACTCCGCATGAAATATCATCCTAAGTTTCACTACGTTTATCCATGTTGTTAGAGTATAGAGAAGACTTCGGAGTAAGAATTGCCTGAGAACGGAGAAGAGGTTCAGTTTGCTTGATTGACTAATAGACTACAGGTATTATGATATATACAGTGGAATTACAAGAAAGAGAGATTATCCGGAACCGACTCGGCTGCAGAAATAAGTGGGACCCGGACCAGAAAATAATTATCCACTGACTCAGAATACTGGGTCATGCAATAGAAATACGAACAAACCAATGACTGGATTTGTTCGGGAAGATTGGGATTCAAGCAGACTCTAACGTTGAGTTTGATTGAATCAGAAGTGTGGGATCCTGCCCGAACTCAGAAATATAGTTCAGGCAAGATGCATGCAACCACATTGGTCGATAGAAAGAAAAGCAGGAAACTGTATTTACAACACTCCTCCTGATCAATGCGGTGAATGCGAGAATGCTATACCATCTGAAAAATCCTTTTAATTAGTGGTTTAGCTTTTTGCTGCGGAAGAGGTTTAGTTAGAATATCCGCCAGCATAGAAGTTTTAGGTATGTAAGACACCTTTATGTGTCCATTAAGAATACATTCCCTAACAAAGTGATAAGCAACATCAATGTGCTTAGTTTTAGAAGAATTGGTCCCTTTCGCAATTGCAAGTGCACCCTGGTTATCAGAAAAGGTGAGAATACCATCATTGTGTATGAGCTTGCTAACATGTGGCTCCTTTAGAAATCTAGAAAACCATATTGTCTGCTTAGCAGCCTCAGGCAAGGCTACATATTCAGCTTTAGTGGTTGAGGTTGATACCGATTTTTGTTTCCGCAATTGCCAACACACAGGACCACCACCAAGCACTAGAATAAACCCGCTTACTGAACGACGGGTGGTAACATCTGAAGTATAATCCGAGTCGGAATATAAGGATGCCGCCTGGTTTGTGGTTAGAATATGTGATGGGGGACTGAAGCTGTAAGTAATACAGTAATTTGAAGAGCCTTTAAGATATCAAGATACTCAACAAACACTGTTCCAGTGACGCTTTACTGTACTTGAGTTATAAGCGCCTAGTTGGGAGGTGGCAAAAGAAATATCTGGTCGAGTCCCAATAGAAGCATATCCAAAGCTGTCTACAGCGCTTGCATAGGCAGAATCGTCGACCAATGGTTCCCCCTCTACCTGCGGAAGAATACCACCATATCCATCAAGAGGAGAAGAAAAGGATTTTTATTCCCCCAGCCCAAGAGAATAGATCTTGTCTAGTAAGGGGCTGGACTGTTGTGAAGAACATGGGTTGCAGAAGTAAATACTCCCTTTTGGGAGAGAGAATCAAGCTCCTCCTGAATTGCCATTTCCCACATGGAATTATCAGGAGTAAAGAATAGGATGTTATGATATGTGATAACTTGGTAGTCGGGGTTAGGGCATTGCGCAGGGCCTTAGGCCACAGGACGGTGTCACTAGTGTAATGGTTAAGCGAGCATGTATATATTCTCTTAGGTGTACCCACAATTAAATTATACAGGTTTATTCTTTTACTTTCTGTTCATACCCTTACAGCATTGTATCATACAAGTATATTCACTGTCACCCACATCAATCACATCATCCATTCCTCATCACTCCGCAGTATAGCTTCCGCATCGCTCATAACCACAACACAGGAGCCTTAGGTTGCCATGCAGATAGTGGCTCAATAGGTTTTGAAATCCTATTGCTCCTCCTGAGCGGAGGAAGAGTAGAAAAAGAAGAAGAAGAAGCAGGGGTTGTCTGGATTCGATTATTGCCCTGAGAAATATCTGCAGTAGAAAGAGAATTTGGAGACGAAGTAGTAGGATCAAGTTGCACAGACAAAGAAGTAGAAGAATCCGGCTCATATGTAGAATGATGACAAGTAGTCTGGCGAGAAAGTAACTGATCCTGAGAAAGAGTATCCCGAAGAGAAAGCGAGTCAACATAAGAAGAATTTTGCTCCAAAGTTGCATTAGAAATGATGACTCCAGAAGAAGAATTTTCCTGATCAGTAGTCTCTTGAATATTCAAGGGACGAGAAGAATAAATTTAAATAAAAGGATCATGAAAGGGTGACACGCCCGAGTCTGAGTCAGAGCTGTCAAAAGAATTATCGGGATGAGAAAAAGTAGGATTGTCATTGAGGGGCACTTCGATCTCGCTAAATTGCTCAGATAAAGTTTGGCCCCAATCCCAGAAAGTGTCCTCAAGAAAATGAACATTGGCCAAAATGATAATGTTAAATGCGGTATTGTCCATGTTAGATGCTGCTGTTAGTAATCCCAGAGAAAGATCCGAAGAGAGCGTGGGGCCCTCAGGTTGAGAAGGGGGACAAGCAGAAAGAGGACGAGAAGAAGAAATAAGAACAGCAGGAGTAGTAATTACATTGACATGAAATAAGCCATTCCTTAAATGAGTGATTGCAGTGAGAGAATCATTAGCTTTGTATATGCTTATTCCACCATTAGAAGAACGCATTTCGTAACCTGCAGAAAGAAGCTGAGAGCCAGAAACAAGATTTTTTGTACAAGAAGGAAGATACCAGACATTATCTAACTTCAAAGTATGAGAAAGAGACGAATCGAGATAATTTCCCAAAGAAACTTCCACAGAACCGATTCCAGAAACAGAAATTAATTGAACTGAAGCGGTTTTAATACGCTTGTCAATAGAAGAAAGAGAAGAGAAAAATCTCTTATCATAGAAGATATGATGCGTAGCACCAGAATCAAGAACAACGTCATTAACCTTCCCTGATCCATCAGAATTAAGAACATGTTCCTCCATCATCTAGGCGCCATAAAGTTTAGTGGAATTTCCTTTTTGATCCTTGGAGAAACCTTTGTGACCGAACCTTTGAAACTTAGCTCGCACCATGGCTGCTTTCTCTGGATGCTTGGCGGCCCACTTTGTGCCGTCAGGCGTAGAAATCCAGAGGAAACAAGTGTCCCTGGTGTGACCCTTACGGTGACAGTGCGCGCATGTTTTGTCCTTATTGGAAGAATTGGACGAGGAAGAATTAGGATCAGGGTGAGAATTTTGTTTCGTAGAACTAGTTAAGAATACTGCAGATGGACTAGACTGTCGACTATTTATCGTAGTTTCTGTCGACCTCAGAGAGTTGACTGCCTGAGAAAACGTGCAGGACTTGTCTCGTCTCAAAGAAGTGACTGATCCAGAGAATTGACCATTGCTACAAAAGTCAAAGTAGTCAAGTAATTAATCCCTCATATGAGTATCAGAGGGGAAGAAAGAAGGATCTGCAGCAGCAATTCTACATTGACGTTTTGTAAGCTCTTCAGAAAATTAATCCACACTAGTACCATCAGGCATAGTGAATTGAAAGAAATCCTTGAGCAAGGAAGTAGGAGTGTAACGGCTAGTGAGCCGATAACTATCCTGTATAACGTGATGTTGATCACGTGCGTCAACAATTCTGTGAAAGGCGAAACTTCACTCTAGTTTATTCTGAACATGACTAGAAGATTCTAGCAACTGGCAGTGAGACTGTGAACTGGTATCAGGGGAACATAACAGAAGCTAGTATCAGACAGGAAGGAATATTCTAGATAGCCTAATAAGTGTATAAATAGTTGAGTTAGGACACACATATTGTGGTATAGAAAATAATAAACAACCTTTGTATATTTAGTCGCCCCAGCATCTATACCTCGAACTGTGACACAGATGTGGAGAGTTTGGTCGGACCAATCTTTATCTACGAAAGATATTTCCCAGAAGTTGTTGAGCCCAGTAATTATGTTACCATCAAGTTCATTCTGCAGGGCTTTTTCGACAATTGGAGCTGTTGTTTGATAGCTGAATAAATCATCATTACCCCGCAGGATGGTCTCCTTACTGAGGGAAGGAGTTGACGTGGGTCATCTGCTTCTTTGTATGGGACCAATCCTGTATGGTGGGTCTTGGGCGAAGCCTAGTGCAATTTCTAGTATTTCCACCTCATTTTTCTTATCTGAGATAGCATTAAAGAGAGATTGAAGTCTAATGAGGTCAATCTCGTTCCCGTTGATTTTGATGACAATAGAAATCAATTGTTCATACAGTTGCTCCGAGGCATCATTGTCTCTGACAGCGAATGCGCAATGTTGTAAATTAGTAAATAATATATTATAAGCTATTAAATTAGTTTCAGATTTCTTAGCTTTGGTGTGAAAATTACCAGATTTAGAACCACTTTGTTCATAGATATTTAGAAACAGGATAAGAAACCTTACCTAAGAGTATTTGGCAAGGTATTCACAGATATCTGTAAATTCAGTCATATTATAATCTTTTAATAGAAAATGTTGAGCTTGGACAAAAGGGCTGATAGTGTTTGGTTTCTGATTGTGACGTTATTTATTTATTTATTTATATTAACGTCGTGCTAGCTCACAACACACACAATTTTTGGGAATTCGAATTTTCACCTTTTTCCCGTCTCCCTCCCTCACGCGCTCGTCGCATTCTATCAAAAAATTGTTATTGAGTCACTGGCATTTTCATCATGCCACCTGTTCGAAAAAAGCGTCCCAACGCCAAGTTGGACAACACGAGAGTCCACCCGAGGGCTCTCGAACAAGTACCTGGCCTTGCCCAGTCTCCGAAATGCGCGGAGATGAGCAAGGTCTCAATCAAAGGGAAGGAAAAAGCCCTCCCTGCCGTCGCTGAACCCGATACTGACATGATCGGGTCAGTCGAAATTGTTGAGGAAATTCCTCAACCACCCTCCGTCCCCCACGGGATTGGGGAATCATCCAAACCACCTCCGACCGTGTCAAAAGCGTCGGAAAACGCTGCACCCATAGCAGCGTCAACATCAACGTCGCAGCCAAAAGCTGCCACGAAAGCAGAGTGTCCCCTCGAGCTCTGACCAATAGTCGAAGCTGAACAACGACGCGCAGCCGAAATAGCGGCAAATCTGGCCCTCTGCTCCGCCGCCATCTCTGGCGTCGAAGCCACCCTCCTCCCTTTGACTAAAGGGTCAAATAGACAATTCGTAGACTCCATGAGAGTCTACCTACGCGCCGCCATTGCGCAATACATGGCCACAGGCCCGGCCACTACGCCACCCGTCCTCCCTCCTCGCCCAACAAACCCTCTCCCAAGGGCTCCCGAAGCCAGGAGACAAACAATACCCACCATCCCAGCTCTGCCTTTCAAAAGCACCTGGGACACGGTGGCCAGAAACGGACTGCAACAAAAAGCAGGCCCAACTGTGAAGGCTGTGCCGCGACCTGCGGCCAAAGCCCAACAAAAAGAAAACCCCAAGGCGAAAATCGATAAGCGACTGTTCCTCCGCCTTGAAAAGGACCACCCGTGGCGAAAATTGTCCACAAGCAGCGTGAGAACTAAGTTAGAGTATACATTCAGCTACTTTAACCAAGAAATAACCTCACTCCACTGAGTGAGAACGGGCTTTGCTATGCTAGCAAAGAACGAAAAAATACGACAAGATGCTTTAGATGGCTCTTCGAAGCTGGCGAATCAAAACGTCAAACTCGAGGCATCTTCGGATCTTGTCGCTTTACAGATACCGAACGTACCTGTAAGTATAGTTACAGTGTGCGGTACCAGGGCGGTCGATGCTAGCTGGGTCTCTGCCAAGATTCTCGGTACGACCGGCGCGATTCAAATCCAGGTCCGACCTCATGGGACGTGTCGACCTGGGGCACTGTATCAAAACTGGCAAGCCCTTTTTACGCGGGACAACGCCCCTCGTGCAGGCTTCCCCCTCTTCGACGATTCTGGTATGGCTACCATTCACAAGCCTCGTCGCCAAATTGGACAATGTAAACGCTGTTTGGGCTTCCACGCCACTCGTGGTTGCTCCCGCGCTCCAGCCTGCTGGAACTGCGGCTCCAACATGCACTTGAAAGCCGAGTGCAAGGCCCCCACTAAGTGTCGCAACTGTGAGGGACCCCACCGATCGGATTCTCGGGACTGCAAAGTCAGACCCAGAAAGTCTGGGCCGGTGACAAAAGAGCAGCTCGCATGGATACGCCACCTCGAGCAAGGGGAGTTCGCGGAGGCGGCTCGAGCTAGGGCTGCAGCCAAAAAGGCCGAAGAGGCGATCGTCGCCGCGGCGAAGGATGTCGCAATGGCTGAGGCAACAGGTTTCGGAGTGCTGGGATCAGAAGAAGAAGTTTGAGGACACAGCAACCTCGACGATGTCCCCTTCTGGGGCATCTACTAACAATTAGCAGGATACCGGCTGGATCAAAGGTGCCTGCTAACTCATCTACTGCTCTCAGCGGAGATTAAGTAAATTTGTCATTTGGAAGGTGTGACGGACGAGAGAATGTGTGAGGAGCACATTGACTGGGTCCAATATGGAGGAATCTTCTGGTTTTTTCGGAGTTGTTTTGATTTTCTTGATTTTTCGTCTCTGTTTAATCAGCTGCACTTTTGGTAGCAATTCACGAGGTTGGAAAGAGTTAGGCTGTAGGAAAGATTACAGGGAACCCTGCCGGCTCTGCCTGTCCTTGATCCAATGTGGAAAACATAGCTTTAGCTTAGGACAAAAATAAACAAAACAAAACAACTAATTTTTTGAAATCGATGAAAAATTCGCCTACCCATCCCCTCAACCCTTCAATTCACAGTTTCATAAGCTAATTTCATCTCTATCATAGTCGCAAGACCGTGAGTCTCCAAAATGGCGACGGGTCCTCCGAAAATCACTCGCCCCGTGCGCCAGCACAAAGCCATGGCGAATATTATAATCAGGCTGAAACAGCGCCTAGATGCAAGAAATCTATCGATTGATACGATAGATCAAGACAAGATGGAGTCAGAGATGACCGAAAGATTGAGAGTCTTCCAGGAAGACTCAAACTCAACAAACCCAGACGTGGAAATGGGCGATATGGTCATCGACCAATAAATAATAGAGGGTCTCGACAAGTCCAGATGGAATGTCACTCAAAAAATTGATGATGTGGTCCCTGTGACCTCCGTCATTACAACATCAAAGGAGATTGCTGCTCCTGCTGTCAAGAAGGCAGCAATCCCAGGGATGAATAAGGCTAATCAAGCCACACCTGCTCCGATCGCCAGCAAACCCTCATCAGTGGCGACTGAAATTCAACAACTTTCCTGCAGCGAAAGCAGGAAACAAAAAATCAATGGCTGCCCCCCCGAACCACAAGCCATGATTGAAGCTGAAGAGCGCAGGGCAGCGCAAGCAGCAAAAAATATAATGATCTGCACTGCTGCGATCAATGCTGTCGAGACCGCGGTCTCTCTATACTCAGAAGAGTCGAGCAATCCGTTCATTGACTCGATGAAAATATATCTCCGAGCAGCTATTGCTCAATTCATGAAGTCAGGACCCAGTGCGTCCCCCCCAATCCTTCCACAGCGTCCAAGCTGCCAGGAAAATATAAGTTGTCCTACAACCAAGGCCAAAGAAAGAACTCCGATGAACAGTCAGGAGCCACAACGCCAAGCGACCCAGGCCAAAACAACCTGGGCAACAGTCGCTCGGGGCTCTCCCCAAATGTCAATCGCTCCAGCGAAGACTGTTCGAGTCGCCCCAAACCCAGCAGTAGAGGTCAAGAAACAAGCTAGACCTGTGACTGCAAAGCCAAAAGATGTTCGTCTGTTTCTTCGCCTTGGAGAGGAGCATGCATGGCGCGCTCTTTCGCCAGCTGGCGTGAGAGATGCCGTGACTAAATTGGTGGAGGTTCCATCCTCCAATATTGAACATGTGTATCGTGTTCCTACAGGCTTTGCAATGAAAGCCAAAAACGAAGAAGCACGCCAGCTTCTCTTAAACGCTGCTGAATCATTCAGCAGGGTTGAAGCTAAATTGGAGACAGCCTCGGATCTGGCTGCCCTTCGAATCGCAACGGTTCCAGTGGCCCTATACATACTTATGGGCAAGGTCACAGTCACTGAGGAGATGGTGGCAGAAGAAATCACTCAAACCACCAAAGCGGTTCCGATACGCGTCCGTCCACTAGGAAAGGGGCGAGTAGGAGCTCCCTACCAAACTTGGATAGCTCACTTCGAGAGAGCGTCTGCCCCTCGGCCGGGCTTCCGACTCTTTGACAACTCTGGAATTGCAGTTCGCCACCAGCCTAAACAGGCAATAAGCCAGTGCAAACGATGTTTGCAATTCCACGGCACTCGAGGATGCTCACGTGCCCCAGCCTGCTGGAACTACACGTCAACAATGCACTCCTCCGCAGAGTGTTAGGCACATATAAAGTGTCGCAACTGTGGGGGCCCCCACCGATCGGACAGTCGCAACTGCCTAGCTCGTCCTACAAAGTCTGGATCGGCATCCAAAGAGAACCTTGAGACGATCAGGCAGGCGAGTCAACGGGAATTTGCAGCGGTTGTAAGAGCAAAAGCAGCCGTTAGACGCGCTGAAGCCGCAATTTCAGCAGCGTCAGAAAAGGCCAAAATTGCTCAGACGAGCTTCAATTCCAGCAACAGCTTCGAAGTGCTAATGACCGATGTATCACCATCTGTAACCCTGGTTACAGAGGAGATAAATCGCGAAGAAAATTTGTAAAGGGCGCCCCACGGGCCCCTTTCCGTCTCCATCCTACCTTAAATTTCATGTCGATAAATATAGGAAGGGGAGGCCCGACACAGGACATCGCGCTCGCCCGAGCTTTTGAGCTGGGAGTCGATGTATTGCTTGTACAGGAACCTCTGTGGAAAAAACAGAGCAAATCAACAAAGACTTATCCGGGATATGATTGTCATATTCCCCATGATGAAGATCAGTCTAGGCCGAGGGCGGTGACTTACACTCGGAAGAATGGCAGTGAAATAATTGCAGAACAGGTCTTTCCCTGTGCCAAGCCTACGGCGGATTATTGCTGGGTCGTGGTCAATGGAATCACGTTCCTCAACGTCTGTAAGGCTCACAAAAACCTACAGGCTGTGGAGCCCCTCATTAATTGGAATCCACCGCCAAACTCTGTTGCAGCAGGAGATTTCAACTCAGTATATTGGGCCTGGCAACCGAGCACCACTCGAACCTACGGACAAGGAGAGGAAATTGACAGATGGGCGCAACAACACGATCTATGCTGTCTCATTATTGGGGAGCCCACGCATAACGCTGGTAACACCTTGGACCTAGCCTGGACCAACATCAATGGCGCTCAAGCATGGGTGGATCGAAATGAATGCGTAACCAGCGATCATCTTCCTATCCGGGGACAAATCACGATTCGAGCTGCA